TATTATTAGTAAAAATTTTTTTATAAAAGATATATAATAAAAATTTTTATATTTAAATAAATTTTAATATCTAATAATTTAATTAAATAAGACAGAATTAAAATTTTAATAAAATTTTAATTAGTAAATTTATAATAAAATTATTTTTAAAATTAATTTTTTAACTTAAAAAAATTTATAATAATTTAAATATTTAGTCTAATTTTATTTTTATAAAAAATATTATTATATAAAAATTAATTTTTTTATAATATACATATTATTCTAGAAAATTTGATTATTATAGAGAAAAGTTTATTATAAAAATATTATTATAATAAAATTAAAGCTTAAAGTAATAATTTTAATATTTATTTAGATTATAAATTTAATTTTTTTAATTATTTAGTATTAGAATTTAAAAATAATTAATTTAATTAATAAATTATTATTTTTAAATATTACTTCATTAATTTTGAATTAATTAATAATTAGATATTGATTATTAAAATTATATAAATTAAAAAAGAATTTATAATTTTGATTATAATAAAAATCAGTTACAAATTATATCATTTTAAGAAATAAATTAATTAAATTTTAAGATTAAAATAAATATTAATTTTTTGAAAAAATGAAATTTTATTTATAAAAGTTTAATTGAAATATTAATTAATATTTTATAAATTGCAATTTAATTAATTCTTAAAAATTATATAAAAGTTACTATACTATAGCAATATTATAAAATTAGTATAATGATATTAATAAAATATTTAAAATATAATGAAAATAACAAAAATGCTTTAGCTAAAATATATAAAAGTGAATATATTTTAGTTTATTTTCTTATCTTTAGATAATTTTTCATATTAATTTCTCTTTTTATAATAGCTTGTAGATAAATCAGATTGTGATTTATAATATTTTATTTTATTAATAAACTATTCTTGTTATAAACTTATAAGAAGTACTGTTGTTTGATAAATTATATTAGTTGCATTATTATTATTGATTTTTGTATATTATACATATTATAAGTCATTAAGCTTAAGAAACATTCAATATAAAATTATCTTTATTCCAAGACACCCAACGATAACTATCAACGTTAAGGGAAGAGAATATAAGTTCAAGTTTGTTGCAGTTGCATGACTTAAGGAAGTTACAAATCACGGGCTCAAAAAAAATAGTAAGGAGGACCAAAAGCAATTTTAAGATAAACTGCCTCATCGTTTCATCACAGTTAGAGAGATAGGTCCACACAATTTGCATCAAACCTTTTGATGACATAATAGTCTAGTGATTGCAGTATTCAAAAGTTTCAATAAACTAGCGTAATGATTTATTATAAGAAGAACGATTAACAGAAATCGAATTGTACAAAGAACGTATATTTACTTTTTTTTAAGAATAAAAAATTATTTTACTAAATTTTTTTGGTATTAGAATGTTCGTATTTATAAGCAACAAGTCTGCACGATTAATATCAGTTTTGCTTCAAATTTCACAGTATTTGTTTTAGCTAATGCAATTATAATAAACAAATTTATTTTAACTCAATTAGAAAATTTGCGAAATAACCAAGAAAAGGATAATGAACATACAAAAAGATGATAAGCTGAAAATTATAACGTGTTGGCTACATAAATAATATTACAGTTTAGGATTATTATATTTAAAAACAAGTCTCCATTTAAATTCTTTTTCATTTTCATCCTTTCCTTGATCGATCAATGCGGACGGTCTCATGATTACAGATTGATTCGAAAGATTATAACAATAACGATTCGCCTTCAATTTGGTGTATGGGTTATTCCAGCTGGCGATAACTACATAATCTATTGCTTTAATAATTTTCCAATAAAATCCAGCCCAACCTGAGGAGAAGAGTATCAATTCCAAAGTGTCCGAGTTCCCGTATGTAATCGCTTTACCCGAAACCGAATTGATTATAGCATGAGTACCTCTGTATTCGGGATTCTCGAAATAATAATTCAAAGAATCAATGTACGGATTGAGAAAGTACCAATAGGTGTATGGTGAGCTGTTATCGTTAGTCAAAGCCAATTTACCATTTTGTTCAGTTAAAAAATAACCGATATTTGCATTAGATTGAATTTGATATAAAATTGACATTTTGATTTCAAAATTATTTAAGAAAAATATATGCGCGGTTAAAGCCTTTAAATATTAAGTAAGTGCTGTTTCTTATGGAAAAGACTTTCTTTTGTTGTACATTTTTACGGGAAGCTAAATACGTCTCCACAAATTTTTTTCTGCGTGGTAAAATTTACGGAAAGCTTAATAAGTCAACGTCGTGCTCGCAAAACTTGTTAAGATCAGGATTAAATGTTAACGCCAGTAACACATACGCAGACATGTACAAGTATTTCGTAATGCTAGAAAAAAGTACATGTAATGCCAAATTATTTAAAATATAAATTTTTTAAGAAAAAATCTAATTCAACAAGTATTCTATTATGATAAAGGACCGCATACACAAATATCATCGAAATTTCTGTGAGCTACTTTGATTGTGTCAAAAATTGATTTTAATTTTTTCATTTCTGAAAACGTTAATAAATAAAAGTTCTAAAATCGTCATACCATAACCGATGAATTCACACACTTTATTTGAGTCAAACTATAAAATATTATACTTATACTGGGTAGGGTATTTATTGAGTACTAAATGTCGAATCTGAAATATGTAATTTCAAAAAACGACTTGAAATCAATGAAAAAATTCTAGCTTTATTGAAATTTACGATTTTTTAAGGAAAATTGACCTATATAATGACATTCTCTTTATGAGGACAAACCTAGATATTTGATTTCGTTACAGAGGGGTTTGACTTGTACGGTACGTAACGTAAAAACATAAAAATTTACCTGATGGGAATATCGTGCCGTTTTTTTAATGACTTCATTAAATAAAATAAAATGAAAAATGCACAGTTAAATATTCGATCAAACTTTTTATCATTTAAAAATTGATCATAGCAAAAGTTCCTTTAAATACGATATTCTAGAGAAACAGCAATTGAAGATAGTATTTGTTCATTCCAATTATAATCATTGTCAATTATATTTGATACGAAATGAAACAAATTTATTTTTGCGATTGCACGGCAAATCGATTTATTGCTCATGAATATTAAAATTTCAGCGTTAACATTTAATCAAAATATAAATCTAAATCATCGCGTAACGGTAACGATCGCTACAACTTTTAATTCAGTAAGACGAATTCCAATTCGCTCATTGCCGTTACATCTGTGACCAAAAGTTTGCGTCAATCATTTTCTCTTTTAGGGTTTCCGCGAGTAATCATTGATAAATAAAATTTGATGTTCCGTGAACAAAACTTTATTATTATTATTATTTGATTCAGACGTACACATACAAGTACAATCAACACTCATCAGAATTTCACGTAACAACATTCTACACGATATAAACAACCATATCTTATTATTTATATGAACAAGTAAATGGGAATCGCATACATAAATATGTCTGGAAAACATAATACAAAAGTACTAATGTCAAATACAGATTACGAAATATACACCCTCAAGAGCTGAAACACGATAATTGGAATACGTATATTATTTGATCCAAAAACCATTGGATACCCAAGAAAAATTCAAAATCAAGAAATCATACACCTATCGCTGCATAATCAACAATATGAAAAACGTTTAATTTTTATTTCACTGTTTATTTGAAGTTACAATTGAAGTTTGCATTTGATAATAAATTATACGGTAAGTGTAAGGTTTTGTTTCAGCTGAATTTTTTTATGAAAAATTAAATCAATATAAATAATTCGCAGTTTTGTTACATAAAACTTAGGGATATAATTTTTTAACAATTAATAACTTAAAATAAATTAAATTCTTAGTTTTGTTCAGACTACAAGTTATGTCGTATAGAGGTGAATCAAACAATTCAGTAATTCTTAATTTTGTGAAAATCAACATTTTATATACTGTGACTCATAATTTTGTATCAAAAGAACGAATGTATTATAAATTGAATTTTCTATATTAAAATTTTTATTTTTATTAATAAATATTTTATTTTTATATTAATTTGATTTTTTTAAATTTTTCTAAAAGAGTAT